TGATGAAGAAGAGGGCGAGGAAGAGGAAGAGATCGACCCCGAAATCAAGCGTAGGATGGAGCTGAGGGAAAGGATGGCCAAGATGAGCGGTGGTATGGGTATGATGGGGTTCTTTGGTCCTCCTGGTGGCATGCCTGTTCCGGGCGCAGGACCTCGCAAACCAAAGGCGGCTGCGGAGACAGAGAAAAACACGGAAGACTCACATCGGGCTGCTCCAGCAACTGCTCCACCCGTCCCCGTGATGGCGCTGCCGGGAATGAACGCCGTTAGACCAACAGCAGCTTCTCCAAGCGTAGAGAAGGAAGAGGATGTGCCTCAGCCTGCTTCTGTCACTGAACAGCATCCTCCTCAGGAAATCCCTGATGTAGAGGACGTCGTGGAGGAGAATCCTCCCCGTCGCGCTCCTGATGAGAGGCCTGCCGCACCTCACGGTACGCATCCTTGTTTCTCCTGCGGACAATGACTGCAGTCAACTTTGGACCATCACTTACATCTTACAGAGCGTCCAGTACCCTCGCCTCCGCCGAGAGAAACACGGCCCGCCCCGCCTCCAATTCCTCAGGACCGGCCGCTGTCTCCACCGGCTGTTCCAGGTGGTGAGTCTAATGATTATGTCTCCCTATATCTCGAGTTAGGCAGCGCTGACATCTAGGAGATTCTCGACCTGTCCCTCCTCCTCCGAAGACTCCGGCTTCTGCTGATCTCGGTGAAGAATCGGACGACGAACTTTCTGTACGTGCGAAGGATCTCTCTTTGAATGCCACCGAAACGGAGCAGGAACGGCCTGCAGCTGCTCAGTCGGTTTCGGCTCCTCCCCTCCCGGACCATCTCGATTCGCGGCGCTCCTCAACCTACGAACCTACTTCTCCAACGTCTCCTACTCTCCCCTCGGAGAAGAGAATGAGTCGCCCGCCTCCGCCGATCCCAACAAATCCACCGATGTCACCACAGTTCCAGAGCAGGGCTCCTCCCCCGCCACCCCCTGGCAACATCCGCCGTAGATCAACTGCGGATAGCAGAGCAAGCGCGGTCTCGCAACCTCGCCAAGCTGGTGAAGACCTTGAGGGAGAAGTCACTGAGTATGATGGGGATTACGATACGGATATCGCGTCTGGGGCCAAATTCAAAGATGCCTTGAAATCTCATGGCCGCGATTCTAGCGTTGACGAAGGTACTATAACCGATGACCATTCTCTTCAGTCTCCACGAAGCCCTCAAGAGACGCGCCTTCCTCCTCCACCACCTCCCTCTGCGCCCAGAGCCGTTCCACCGCCGCCACCCATTCAGCCACCGAAGAGCAGCGGAGGCGCTTCTCTTGAGTCTCCCAGAGGACCACCGCCGCCGCCTCCTCACAGAGAGCTGTCATTTGGAGGAGAGGAAGAATATGATCCATATCGCTATTCTGCCCCTCAGCATGGTGTGCCCGCACCGAGAGTGCCACCTGTGCCTCTTGGCCGCCCAGAGTCACCCCCGGTGGCTCCTTCGCAGGCTGCTGAACATGATTCTGAGGACATGTACGACGCGTCTCCCGCCGTCCAAAGCCCCTCGGAGAGATCAGCAGCTCCGCCTCTGGAAAAGAGATCTTCTTTTGCGCCTCCTCCCACTCTGCCGCCTACCGCGCCACCCCCGTCAGCGCCACGAAGTAATCGTGCATCTTTAGACATTCCTAGGGGCCAGCCTAATCTGCGGAGATCTATGGATGCGTCTCGTCCGTCCATAGATCAAGGCTTCATTGCTATGGATGTGGATCTGGCGGAAGGCTCTCTCTGGTGGACACAGCCTAATACCCCTCCACCTGTTTTCCAAAATCGCAAGGATGTTCTCTTTGAAGTGGAGGAATCGACGTCCACTAAGCGGGGCAGAAAGACCACGATTTCCAAAGATGTCTATGTCCTGTTCATGGACTATTCGCAGACCGTTATCACAGTGGCATATGACGCCCGAAATCCTTCGGATGTGTCCTTGGAGCAGCGTCACGAACCTCCACCTCTGCAGCCGCGCCAGGACCAGCTTGAGAAGGCGCATGCGCAATTCGGTACACGTATCTCGGATGCTGTGACCGCTATTCAGAATACAACTGTCTCAGATGGTACACCGTTCGGCTTGGTCCAGCATCTGCTTAGTCCATTGAAAGATGCACTCCTCCCTGTCGGTACACGCGCCTATGGTGCCTTGGTTTATGCAAATCTGGCCAATGCATCTGTGCAACAGAACGACGAGATCCGAGCTGGAGATATCGTCACTTTCCGCAACGCGCGGTTCCAAGGCCACCGAGGCACAATGCACCAGAAATACAATGCTGAAGTCGGTAAGCCGGATCATGTCGGTATTGTCGTTGACTGGGACGGTACCAAGAAGAAGATCCGCGCATGGGAACAAGGCAGAGAAAGCAAGAAGGTGAAGGTAGAGAGCTTCAAGCTCAATGATCTGCGAAGTGGAGAATGCAAGGTGTGGCGAGTTATGCCTCGAAGCTGGGTAGGCTGGGAGAGTTGAGAATGCCTGGCCATGACGCTACGTAAGCTGCAAAAGCACTATCCCTGAGATTTATGGGCAGCCATCGAAGAGGAAGATTGTATGTGTTACGTGTGCGGGAGGAGATATGATCTCTATCTGTCCTTGCCTTGTCTCCTTCATCCTTTGATATTCTGTGAGAGATCTACGAATGCGCGGGCGGTTGTGCAGATACCTAAGCTTTCAAGTCGATTCGGGTACATGTTTAATTTTCTTTCATGTACATGGATGGCAGAGCTGCTTCATTAGTCGCCTGCAGTTATCAGGTTCCTTTCACCAACCATTTGATTACTTTCAAGCCGTTTATTTTCTGTTTCCATGTATCTACTAATGCTTTGTCCCAATCAAACTGCTTATGAAGTGTTTGTAATGGCCGTCTATCACTGCATAATCCTCACTGAATTAACATATCATAAGCTTACTTGACATAGTAGTGCATATGTTGTCCGTAGGCCTTTGTTGCTGCAGGTTTGCTAGTGCGATGCCTGAAATTAGAGGCACCAATAACGGTGGCAACCTGATTTCCGTCGTTTCCTGTTCAGGCATTCAGCCCAACTCCGATTTCCTTATCTTCAAGAGCTTCACCAACTTGTCCCTCACAACCATCGCAGCTTGACGGCGTCATCACTGTCAAAATGGGTGGCGATCTGAATTTGAAGAAGTAAGTACCTACATCTCCACAGCCGCAACTATCCCTTTTTTGTATCCTCTTACTCACCAGCATATCAGATCATGGCATCCATCGCTGCTCCGCAATCAGGAGCGCGTGTGGGCGGAAGAGAAACGAGCCTTAGAGGAACGCAAACGCATCGAGCAACTCCGACGTGAACGGGAAGAAGAGCGCCAGATTCAAGAACTACAGCGCTTGCAAGAATCTTCGGGGAAAGGTCGCCAGCTGAATCGGGTCGACTGGATGTACCAGGCGCCGTCGAGCGCAACAGGTCACTATGCCGAAGAGATGGAGGGATACCTACTGGGCAAGCGCCGTATTGATGGGATTCTACTCAAAAACGATGAGAGCAAGAAGCTGGAGAAGGGGACTGATGTCGTTGCGGCTAATGCCGCCCCGCCTCCTGTGAATAACCCCCGTGATACAATGGCGAAGGTGATGGCGGACCCGTTACTCGAAATCAAGAAACGTGAGCAGGCTGCTTATGAGAATATGGTGAAGGAATCGGTGAGACGGGGTCAGCATATCCGTGACAAGGATCGTGATAGGGATCCTGATAGGGATCGTGATAGGGATAGGGAACGCCGTCGTGACCGTGGTGGCCGAGATAGAAGTCGCGATCGGGATCGCAGCCATAGACGCTCGAGACATGGAGATGAGGATACACACCGTTCTCACCGCCATCCATCACATCGGCAGAGATCTCGGTCTCCCTTGTCGCCAGACCGGTCCGACAGGAAACAGGGGGATGACCGAGATTACAGAGATGAGAGAGATAGACGGGCTGATCGCAGAGATGAGCGCAAAGACCGTGATCGGAGGGATGATCGTCGGAGTGAGAGAGACCGCAGAGCGGATAGGAACGACGGAGACCGACATTCCAGCAGATACAAGGACCGTGATGACCGATATGACCTCCACACACGGCGACGATCAAATGAAGATCGTTCGCCATCTCCTCGACGCGGCAATCATTACCATGATAGACGCTGGACAGAGGACAGGAGCGATGGATATCACAGAGACTCTCGAAACCATGATCGGCCAGAATCCTACCGAGGCAACGACAGGAGAGATAACAAGGAACCCAGAGACTCGAATCCTAGGGAACGGACCCTGAATACTAGAGATGAAGCTGCTAGTAACAAAGAAAAGGATCTGGAAGAGGAACGCAAGAAGAAGCTGGCTGAGATGATGTCCAACGCAGACGAGTTGGAACAAAAGCGTCTTCAGCGCATTGCCGAGGTCACAGCTATGGAAGAGAAAGAGCGCGAGGCAGACGAAAAGCAGCGGTCTGAACGAGGTCGCTTTGTTGGTAAACTCCATCGTCAGCTCCAGGAAGATAGTCTGGACGATCGGATCCGACGCAGTCGTGGTGGCTTGGAAAGGATGGAGGATTAAGGAACGCCATGCCATGCCTTGGGCATTGTCATCACCTATGTTCTCGGTTCTTTTATTGGTTACAATATATTGGGGGCTTCTCTCTGGCGTTCAATTTCGGCATGGGGCATGAAATTAGTTTCAAGCAGCTGTTATACCCTGACCTTCGCAGCAAACCAGTAGCTTTGCTCTCGTTGCGCGCCGGCCGAGGAAAGAAGAAAATAGAAAAGTAATTATTTGAGCCTTGGGCATCGGTTCCTCCTCCACACGCCAAAGTTTTGATTCAATATATTATCGGTTTGAAGTAATACAGCGGAGTTCTGGAATGAGAATGCCATAATTGAATTATACAGGTATCACGAAGGGTTGCGGCCGACAACGCTACATTTAAGTATAAGAAAACATTTCCTACAGAAGAATCGAAAAGATCTATCCTACATTACAACAATAGCAACTCGCCTGTCGCCGCCCCGCCAGCCAGCTGAGGCTGGTACACCTGCTGCTGGTTCTGGTTGACCACGTATTGAGTCTGAGAGGCTCCACCGCCACCAGCACCGCCATCTTCTCGACCACCCAGGTCGAGTGCCGCCATCTGCTGGCTTCCGACGCTGTTGAAGTACATGTCTGCGGCGCTCACGGCGGCATTCATGCTGCTTGCACCGGTACCAGAGCCGTTCGTCGGCGATGCATTGGCCACAACGCCTGAATCCGCCCCAGTACCCGGGAGGAATTGCCAAGCACTACTTCCGTTCTCGTCTTGGGGTTTCTGCAGGGCAGGGCTGTACTGCAATCGTCGGGTCCGCGCAGAGCGGAAAACCTGCTGGACCGGTTTGAGGTACACAGTTGCCAGCGTGCCGACGTTCAAGCAGAGTTCTTCTAGGGTCCGCGAGTCCAGCTTCTCGCTTTCTGCGCTGATGGGGGGTTTCTGGCCCATCACGACCTGCTTCGCGGTAGCCGGGTCGGTCGACAGCAGACGCCAGTACATGTACCCTCTATCCCTGAGATCCGGGTCGTCCGTTTCTTCTGTGCACCATTTTAGGACTTGAGGTACGAGCTGTTGACCCTTGGTAGGGCGTTGGATGAACAGCTTGACGGTGGCCGTCAAGAGGGCAAGTTGCACTTCAACCGTCTCGTCGTGGAAAGTGGCCAGGTAATCCTGGAGCAGTCCGTCTGAGTTCTCAATGCGGTCTGCATATTGCCCGATGATCCAGATGATGGCTGCCTTTGCTTCTGGTTCATCCAATTCGTCGATATTCTGAATGACGTTGCTGATAATGCTTTCGTACTGGTTGGGATACTTGCGAAAGATATTCCGAATGACAACAGTCGCCTCTTGCACAATATAAGGGATTTTGGCGTTAACCAACTCCAGGAGAGTGTCAATGCACTGCCGTGCTGCAGATTCAATTTTGATGGCCAGTTTCCCGATGGCACGAACGGCTTTTCGCACGAAATGAACATCGATCTCGGTTGCATATCTTTATACCGAATCAGTCAATGGACATATGGCTGGGGAGCATTGCACTCACTCTCGCAACTCTGCTAGCACAATGCCGATATTCTCCTTCGTGGTCAGCATAAATATTAACTCGAGCTTAGTCACTTTGACATAAATCGGGTCATTGTAGTTGCAGAAAAAGACTCGGATGTCGTTCCGTAGAACCTCGGGTCTTTTCTGTAAAATGAGAATGGCATTTCGGAGAGCTAAGTACTGCACTTCCGGAGGTTTCGACAGCAGAGTAACAAGAGGCGGTGACAGCTTCTTCGACAGAGAAGTGATGTGCCTTTCATCGGCTATGTAGTTCATGAGATAGAGGATGACACGGATCGATGTAAGGACAACAGAAGAGTTGGAGTGAGAAAGGCGAGGAGCTACACGCTCGGCGAGCAGGAGTGCTTCTGCTGTGTCCTGAGGCACATATGACATCAAAGCATCAAGGATGTAAGTCTGCCCCCATCTAGTTATTTGTTAGCAGCGCGGACAAAGCATAGGGAAGGACCAAGGGCAGATCGTCTTACTCGGAACAGTCTGGTAGGATAGAAACAAGTTTTGAGGCGCTTGCATAGTCAATCGTCAGGGATATCGATTCACTTCGGCCCCAGATATCTGTCAAAGAAGCAAGAACACTGGACACGACGGTTGGATTCTCATCCTTGAGCATTCGGTTGAGCCGATCGATGAGGTCCGAGCCCTCAACCATCTTCTTATCGTGCTCGTAGAGCTTGGAAACGCAAAAAGCCGCAGTTTTGCGAACGTAAGGATCCATGTCCCCCATCAAACGTTTAAGAGGCTGAACGGTTGCTTCGACGAACTCGCGAACGTGCACATATGAGATAGTTCGCAGAGCCAACGCGCGCACAAGCGGATTCGAGTCGTCCATATCCTGAGATCCATGTTAGCTCATGAATAGGACCACATAAAAACACATGGTCGTCCATACATCTACCAATATGGGCAGCGCCTTCAAGGCGACATCGGGCTTCATCCTTGAGTAGTTGACCAGGAAGAGAAAGCACCTATTGTACGGAGTCAGTCGTCTGTTGGGCCTGCGCCTTGTATCCGTGCCCCTCCCTAGGGACGTACATCTTCTTTATCTCCAGGCTGGGCAAGTTCATACAACCGATCACATCGGGAAATAAGGCGACCATGTCATTGTTGCTCATGGTCATATTGGCAACGATCTTCTTGAGCGCTATTTTCTTCGCCGAGAAATTCTTGTCCTTCTTGCCGCCGCTATTGAGCTCCTGTCGCAGCTCCGCGACTTTGCCCTGTGAAGATTGAGAGAATGGTAAGCCATAGTTGGTCGTATAAGGAAGCACGGCGATGAACATAGAGGGAAAAGTGATTTTGAATCATGTAAGTAGATAATCGATATGTTGGAAGCAAGTATACAACGGCAGGTGGGCTTCTGGGAGGATACAAGGGGCAAGAATGCCAGCCAGCTTCGTCATTAGACGACGCTCCAAGACAGAACTCGACGTGAGGGGGAAGCGAGGGGAAGATAAGGCAATGCGTCAATGGAGTGCTTGGTCGCACTTCCATTACCTGGGTAGGTCCGATGACCACCAAAGCAAGCATATTAACATACCCTAGCGAACAGCTTCGCATCACCCCCGCTGGAACTCATGGTGTGTGGCTTTGCGGACGGGCAAATAGAGTCTCCTTAGCTCCTTTCAAGTCTGCGAAACGTTTCCGTGTGAGGATCGGACTCGGCTTCGATCGCGGATTCACATGAATCTTGTCAAGGGCGATTTAGAAGAACGGATGATCGTTCCAGACGGCCGTGCTATTTCCCTTCAGCTGCTCTGCTCCTTCAACGCCTCCATGCCTTTGGGAATCGTCGTGGTGCTTAAGTCGTTTGCACAAAGTGTCTATGGCAGACGCCCAAGCCTTCGCTGAATCAAGACTGGGGTTTGGCGTGGAATATCGCGCCGTCGGGGATACCAAGTAATAGACACAAAGTGCTCAAAATAAGAAAATGAAATTATAGGTGCCAGATGTCATTGTGGTTTAAACGTTCTGGATCCGTCGAACGGTTCAGGGAATCAGGAGTGGATCGGCTGCCGCCAGCTCCGCGTGCTTGTGGGGAGTTCTGACCACCGATTAGATCAACTCCGTCCTGATCATCAATCTGCATCATTTGCAATCTTGCTCCAACTCACCGGTCTCTCACGATTTCGGCTCCAAAAGAACGGCGCTGACCGTGTCCTTGCGCCAAGTCATCCAGTATGGCTTCCAACCCTTTCAATCCTCCACCACCGCCGCAATGGGTGGTTGCGCTGAACACCCCTATGCCGCGTCCTACCAAGGCCGCATCCAGTATCCCTGATCCTCCGGGATTCTCCAGCAGTAAAGTACTAGGCAAGGGCGTAAGTCACTCTCTATGCGTAGAATTACCTGAGTGATCGCCGTCATGGTTCGAAGCAAACTAACTGGGTTGTTATTTAGCGTGCTCAGCAGCAATCAACTACCTCCACAACCGCTAAGCCTGGCGAAACCGATACTCTAAAGCTGAAAAAAGCATGGGAGATTGCTCTCGCTCCTTCGAAGCAGATTCCCATGAACGCGATCATGATGTACATGTCTGGAAACAGCCTTCAGATCTTCAGTATCATGATGGTCTTCATGTTGTTCAAAGGCCCCATCCAGGGCTTGATGAACACCAATACTGTCTTCGCAAAATTTGACACCGAAGGCATTCGCGGGAAATTGATTGGAGTGAAGGCTGTTTATGTCCTGATGCAATTGGGTTTGCTGGGACTGGGAATTTGGAAGGTTAATGCCATGGGACTTTTGCCGTATGATCTATCACCCTTGCGCTCATCTTGGTTTATCTCTCGCAGATTTACTAATACGAAATTCCAAAACAGGACTACCAGATCAGATTGGCTTGCTTGGGAGTCGGAACGACAACCTCTGGAAAGAGCTTATTTTGCTTTCGGTTAAAGTGTATATCCACGAAAATCTTCAAAATAGCAGCAATAAGAAAACAACCGAGACCTTGTCCTTTTTCAACTTGCTACATTGGTTTATAATGTCATAATGTCCCTAATTTTCAACACTGTATATACGGTCAAGGTATGTATGTACATCCGTTGGGTCGTAAGAAATATTGTTGCCATCACAGTGTTGCTATGTTACTCTCGACCACGAAGCGCTTTATCACACGCAAGATGGAAGATCTGAGCGAATCGCCACACCTCTATATACGTGTTATACAAAGGTGCCGGTGCAACCCGAATGACGTCTGGTTTCCTCTCGTCTATGATTACTGCATCCTCATCCAACGATTCAAGGACACGGTCGAGAAGGCCTGGTTGGAGACGTATACTCAATTGAGCTCCACGCTCTGCTGGATTTGAGGGAGTGATGATGCTGAAGGGTCTTTTCTCGGAACTCTGGGTTTGAGGGTCGCGGAGAAGAAGCTGTTCCAGGTATCCTGTGAGGTTCAAGGACTTTTTGCGAATTTCAGCCATCGATGTTTGGTTAAACAATTCCAATGATGCCACTACTGCATTCATATCCAGAACTGATGGGTTGGATAGCTGAAACCCGGCGGCTCCTTGCTGGGGCACGAAGTCTGGTCATACAAGGTCAGAAATTCAATATAAAAACACAATCTGAATCGGTGAGATCAACATACGGTTGTTCATCAAGAAACGAGTTTGCTTATCCCCTCCCCACCAGCCAGAAAACCGCGGATAAAAAGCCTCCTTCCCAGATGCGGCCTGTTCCATGTCCACTCGGCCATGCCTCTCATGGACAAACAAAGCTGCCATCCCTCCAGGTCCGGCGTTGAGGTACTTGTAAGTACACCAGGCAGCGAAATCGACGTTCCAATCATGCAGTCGCAGGTCAACATTGCCTGCGGCGTGGGCACAATCCCAGCCAACAAGAATACCTTTAGACTGTGCATGAGCGGTGATCCTTTGGATATCGAAGTATTGCCCGGTATAGAATTGGATTGCGGATAGGAGGATCAGAGCAGTGCTATGCGCATTCTCATCAATGACTCGGAGGATATATTCTGTGTCCAAAATGGGCCTATCAAGGTCTTCAGGCTCTATAAGGACCATGGCATCCTTTGGGTCGAGATTGTGATGCCTGATCTGGGATTCAACGGCATACTAACTCGGATTCGTGTTAGCTTTGGCCACATAGCGTTGAAGACGGATCGACTCCAGAAAACGTACATGATCACTCGGAAATGCCTTGCCTTCGATGATGATCTTGTATCTTTCCCGAGTCGGTCGATAGAAGCTAGCCATCAAGAGGTGTAGGTTGGCCGTTAACGTGCCCATCACGGCTACTTCGCTTTTTAGTGCACCCACAATCGGGGCCATGAGTTTGGCTCCAGCCTCGTCGACATCAACAAATGGAGGAAGCAGCTGGTCGTCATGCGGAACAAAATGACCGGTTACGCCCTTGGTTGCCCATGTCCGAAGGTAGTATTCGATGTATTTCCGGGTGCTACGGGGTTGAAGGCCAAGCGAGTTGCCGCAGAGGTAAATACATTCTTCATCGGATGCCTCTTCAGTTTCTGCAGCATGGACGCAGACACAGCTTGTATTAGCGAAGCAAATGGGACGTCTACACGAAGTCGTACGTACATACCATCCTTTGGAAACAGAGTCTTTCTTTTTAGATCCTTTTTTGACGGAATGATAAACTCGTCCCTGAAGCGACGCAAAGGGTCTTGTGCATCTAGTGACTCTGCATACTCTTTGCAAAAGGCCCTGATATCATCTTGATAAGGAAGCGGGGGTCCGCCTTGGATTTCCTGAACATGTAGGCGAGAACCCATTCTGCATGAACTTTGCGGGAGCGATGGTGTAAAGTATATCTCACCTAGATACCACAGATTACTGCAAGACGTTGTCAGTCTCGTAAATGGGCTAGGCACTTCATGGCAGCATTGTCCATTGCGCCTCGGGGTTGTCACCCCTCCATGACGACTATCGCCGACGGAAATCATTATTCTGCCGCTGCTTACCGACACAACTGACCAATGGTGTCATGCGCAACCATCTGACTAACGGGAAACCTACCTTACGGTGTTTGGAGGATATATAATCAAGCTTGCCGATGACAAACAAGCATTGCCTTATGCAAAGGACCTGAAAGTAATATGCGACCTGTTCGACAAACATCTTGACGACTCCTAAAATCTACCGCAATAATGTCTCAGCCCGCGTTATCCTCAGCCGTTCTTCGTCTATCGCGACGCCAAAACATGTCTGGAGTGGCGCTCCTACGCTTCACATCTGGTAGAGCATCGAATTCGGCCTCTCGCTTGTCCGTGCCTTTCTCCTCCTGCAGCACCACTATTCCTCGGTCTATTTCGAGCTCTCTGATCCCATCTACGACCAATACTTCGTTTCGAATCCCTTCCACAAGACGTTCTTTGAATTACCGCCAACGCTGTGCCTTCTCCGCATCAACTGCTCGGCCGGGCGTTAAAGTCGTACAGAATCCGAGGGTGGACGATGAAGGGAATGCGTTGATGATCAATATTTCTCCTCGGGCAGCAGAGGTATGTTGGATGACTTTTTTAAAATTGTGTCTCTGTCTCTTTGCGGAAATGTCAGACCAGTTAAGGATACCATCTGCCGTGGCTTCCTCGGGATTTACATATCAGCGCTTTGTTGGGAGGAGAAGAGCTGCGTCACCGAGGTATAAGCCTCGTTGAACACATATCTAGCACATACGACCATAGGGTGTGGAAAACAGGGCTTCCCGTCCGCTCAGCCGTACTTAAGCCACACGCCGGCCGGTTAGTAGTTGGGTGGGTGACCACCAGCGAATCCCGGCTGTTGTATGTTTTTTCACTCAGATCTTTTTGTTTTTGATGCTTGTTCAAATTGTCTTCATCGTCTTATCGCCGTTTTATTTTATTGATTTTTTCCCCATACTTCTCATTCAAGGAGTATATCATTGTCCAAGATTACTGACTTGCTGGCCAGCGTCTTCGAGAAATCACGGATCCATCCTCTTCCTCGTCGGCAACAAAGGAGGAGAATCCATACCACCATCTTCGGATCACTGTGACCAGCGGAGGGTGTCACGGCTTCCAGTACCTCATGTCTCTCGAGGCAACCTCGAAGATAGACCCCGAGGAAGACACGGTATTCGAAGCGGAACCCGAACAAGGCACGGCCTCGGGGTCCGGCCAAGCAAAGGTGGTCATGGATGAACCGTCTTTGGAACTCTTATCGGGGAGCACGGTCGACTATACTATGGAACTGATTGGCAGTCAATTCAAGATTGTTGATAATCCGCGGGCAACGAGCAACTGCGGTTGCGGAACGAGTTTCGATGTGAAGGATTGAATAATCTCCTTGACCAGGTTTTGGATGCTGAGATATCAGAACCGATTGCACATTCTCTTCAATGTATATCACAATATTTTATCAGATAGAGTAATAGATACCATACCCCACTTCACGTTAGGGTGACGAGCTGTGCTTCTATACCCACCGAATCTTCTTGTGACAGGCTTATTATATATATTATGTGCAAGTTGAAGCCTAGCCACGCCAATCTCTAGGAACCATTACTGAAGTGAGGCATTTCTTTTATTTGCAAATATGATGCGTAGACCGTATAATATGGAACTAGAGAAACATAAATGTAACATTTACGCCCTGAATCAACCGTCTAAACTCATTTTGATCGCGACGAACCCGTGTCCCGAGCAAGTCAAGGCCGTAAACCTGGGATACAGCTTGTTAAGAACAAATAAGAACTGAAAATGAAGATAAAGAGAAAATGGGGGACACGGAACAAAATTCATCATGAGAGGGGCTAATCCTCGCCCTACTGCCTCTTTTACCCCTCTGTTTTCTTTCAGGAAGAATGATTGGCATCACTTCAAGATTAGGGTTATCCAAACGCCCTGTTCCCATTGACCACACCTAGTTGCCACCTCTAGCCCCTGATCGGCTTTTCATAACTCCTGGAGCGGTTGAGGCGTTACCGCCGGACTACTCGGTGACCACTTAAATGCCACACATATCCTATGCATTGGCATAACACATACCTCGTTTCGAAGCCTCAGGCAGAGGTTCGGATTGAAAGAAGGTGGCCATCTAGTAAACTCTGGCCAAGTTTCTCAGGTACCAGTCCACCAGACGGCGGCCGGCCTTGGTTTCGCTGACGTGGATCAGGTCATTCTCCAGCGCATAGTCGAGGTCATTCGCGCTGACGACCTCACCCTCCAACAGGCCACCCTCAACCCAGCGCACCTGACGGCTGCGCTGCTTGTTCACCAGCAGCCAAGAGCGGAGAACCTCGGGCTGGACTTCGAGGAAACCGGCGAGCTTCTTCAGGTCCATGGTCGTGTAGAGCTTGAGGTACGACCGGATGGTAGGATTGTACAGGGTGTTCTTGACCTCGTCCATGAAAATAGCGGTGTGGTGGTCGACAGGGTCGATGTTAAGAGCCGGGTTGTCAAAGTCAGGAGGAGTGGGGCTGATGAACTTGGGGCAAGCGGAGCGGAAGAGCTCCTCGAACAGAGGAAGGGCATCGGGACCGCCGTGCTGGAGACGAAGGAGCTGCTCGCCGTACTTCTCACGCAGAGCCGAGTGGATAGTGTCGTCCAGACGAGTGGGGTGAAGAGCCACGCAGATCGCGATCAGAGCATACATCTGGTCGTTCTTCTTAGCAATGGCATCATAGCTGTTGCCACCCTTTTGGAAGTTCTTTGTCCGCGAGACATAGACCAGAATGTGACTAAACATGCGGATGGCGTCGCCGTAACGACGCATCATCATGTACGAGAAACCCACATAGTAGTAAGTGGTGAAGTGGGCTGCCATGACACGAGCGAACATGGCCTTCTTGTTCATCTCAATATCATCAAGGGTCTTGAGAGCAAGGCTGAAATCTCCCAGCAAGCAATGGACACGCAGCAGACCGATGATAGAGAAGTATCCCAGCATCTTATACAGCGGGCGGGAGCCATATTCACCAGCGAATGCCAACGGATCCTCTCCGCGTTTGATAGCAGCCAATTGTTCGTTAATCTGCGATTTCTGGATGAGAGAGTAAAGAACGTTGAGGACAGAGTAGCAGCCCCATGTGTTCGGGTTCTCGCGCAGGAGTTGTGCCTCCTCTTCGTTGGAGCCGCTGCGGGCGACACGGTTACGGTAGCGGCAGAACGATTCAAACTGGTAGATGAATTCATCGATCACATCCCAGGCCCAGTAGTACTATGTGAATGAAATAGGTATGCGAGGTTAGCAATTGTCTCAACAGCGGCCATGAAATGACATTGGCGAAACCACGGAGAAAATACACAGAGCCCGCGGAGATTTGCTTCCATAGAGCAAAGTGGGCTAGAGATGGGGACGTACAGATGGCACCTCCAGTTCGACAGGGCCTTCGGAGTTCAGGATGTAGTGGAACAGGCTGCAGTAGTTGTCATAGCTTGCGAACTTGGTCTCGAGAGTGGCCTGGTATTCAAGCGGGGTTGCAGCAGCGGCAAGCTGAGCCTGGAGATCTTGCGTTTGGGAACCAGTTCCAAGGGATGTTGTCCGCTCCAGCTCGCTCATGCCATCGTCGAAATTCACTTGCTCGCGGTAGTCGTTGACGAGGGCCTCCTCCTCGACATCGGACTCGTCGCCCAGGTTAGGGTGCGCATTGACGCGCTCTTCGTACGACATATTGACTCTGGAGGTGATCCGATAATGGCAAAATATCCAGTGAGATCGTATCGGGGTCGGTCGGCAAGCGTGAGCTGCGGAGGGAGATACGTCGTTCGGCGTTGCTGGTTGACGTCGGCGTGTGGGATAATTGTTTCGGCGGCGTCGAATTTTGAGGGTTTTCGCTTGAAGAGGTTTGTGTTTATCTTATCTCTGCATAGGAAGGGAGCTGAGTCATCTATGCGGTTATGTAGTAAATATCACGTGATATTACCTGACTGTGATACAGTAATCTTTCCAAATCAGGAAGTTTCTTTCATATCCCGGGCATATCCCGTCCTACCAGGTTGTGAATTCTACCTAGGGATGTGGCCATGACAGAGCGAAAGAAGTCCTAGGCCAAGACCCAACGAATTTGTTTTCCCCCTCAAACTGGATGTGCCTATCTTCAGGCTATAAATGAGAAGCTGCGTGGCTTTTCTTTCTCTATGTACTATCATTCGGACTAGGACTCAGATTTCTATCATTGACGAGATCTCCATATGGATAGGAATCACGAACGTGCAGACCTAGAGCAAACTAGCAAGCAGAAACAGACTAGTCCTCTCCGTGACTCCGCGTGTTATGATAATAATATTCGAATTTCGTAACCAGGTCATTGGAGCTCTCCAAAGCTGCTCGTGTGAAGGACCATGCATAAGTAGGGCTTGAATCACTCGACTGGACAAGGCCTAAGGTGAGGTAAGCTCCAGGGGTTTCTCCGAGTTCAGTGCAATATCAAGTTTGTGCCCCATGTGGAGTGTCTGTGGCCGTGGACTGCTGGAGTGCCATGTCCTGCACTGCCAATTTGGGGGGGAAAAGCCTGTAAAATAGTCTACTCCAGGAGGACTATTCTAGGACAGCCATACTGTACGGGACGATCGTGGATAATAGGTAGTGTGAAGTATGGTGTCAACCATGTGTCAACCATGGATTAATGCTTGGATACATGACGTAGCTATTCAGCAGTATCCGTAGAAGCTCCTACTTACCCAGTTACATGCTGGATCTACCATACAAAATTTCATAATAGTAGCGTTTTACAAGTCGGTTTGCAAGTCATACAGGATACCATACCCCGTAGCTTCAACTTACCGTTCTGCCGCCGGGTCGTCCATATTCCACCCATCCCTCCCTCCATTTCTTTGACACGAAGTCGAATAATCTCTCCAAGAAATTAGGAAGTGAGCATTCCAAACAAAGTCCCCGGTCATAGAGTCATGGAGTTCATTGAGTTTCTTGGCTGTATCTGGTCAAGCCAGCACTTCCAAGGACGCTGTTCTATCATGACTGCCAAATGACACAGGAATCGGCCATGCTTCGTTTTAGTACAACTTCGATATGATGGATGTTCTTCAGCATGCACATCCTGTCAGATAACAGGAATCTTTTATCAAAACTGACTGCTTCATGACGCTCGTTACTGAACGCTTTACCATCAGATAGATTTCGTCTTCCGTCGCCACCCTTCGTCTCCGCCTCATTGGCCCCTTTCACAAGACTTCGACTGAGCCCTATTTATTTGCTTCATCAGTATTCCATCTGTTTCGTACATTGGCTTACCTGGAGCGTCAAAGCATAATGGAGATGGTTTACCCAGAGCCTAATGCAAGTAACCGGCGGCCATTGCAAAGGTATCAGCGCCCACTAGAGACTCAATTCTCACGATCATCTCCTCCACCTTCGTCAGCCTCCTCTTCAACGCGACCAGGTACCGACACGTCTCAGCAAACGATTTCTGCGATTCCTCATCGCACAAGTCGGTGGCTAAAACAAGACAACTGCTATTGATAGCGTCGAGCAGGTATCGTGGAATTTGTTCGAGACCGTAAGTCTGGCGCTGCTGACGCAAACAACAACCGATTTCTTTCGCAGCCCGAAGTCGAATTTTTTTCGCTTCTTGAATCTCTGGTGAGTGTTGTGGTTGTTCAGGCATCATGTGCTCCAAAAGGAAGCTGAACATCGACATGATTGCTTGGTGACACTTGATCCTGCAATTATGGGTGAGAACTTCGTTATTTCGTACTGACACAGACTACAAGCTTACCGCAGGAACGACATGTGTGGCATAAACTGATCTTCATCTTCCATAGCGCCCTTCAGACCTACGAGCCACGTTTCTAAGCGCGAAAAGAACACCCTCGCCGCTGCCCAGAGTTGCTCGACGGTTATGTCGAACGCCTTTTCAAACAACAGCTCTTGGATGTCCACCGTAATCAGCGTTAGGTCGGCCAACTTCCGCATGGCATAACGAAGACGGGCCGGTTTTCTGACATAGTCGAGCCTGTTCGTAAGAGGGTATGGACTCCACATGGTTTTTTCGGTAGCTTCTTCCTCGCTGAACAGGTTGAAGTCGGGATGTTTTAAGGCCGGCGCCCTTTGTAGTTCCATAGATACCTGCCTGTCACAAAAGATCAGCCATGCATGCGCCACTGGATGCTTTCGGCCATACGAGTTCATGATATAAATCCCCCATGCAGTGATTGCTGCAACACGTTGAAATTGGACGGACCACGTTCTATGAGGTACTGCTCTTGATGCCCGGAAGAGTCCGAAGTCTTGGGCAAGTTGCACACCTTGCTTAAGCATGAGCCAGCTGAGTTGACCCTTCCCTTGAGATTTCAAACTAATTCAGATACATTAGCGTC